TAAGCCTAGCTTGTAGTGCCGTGCTATTCGATAATAAGTAATATATCGCTTGTGTCCAGGCAGCACGGTGATATGTGCATTCTCACCACTCATGTGCTGCAAAAAATTGCGATTTCTTTTAAAAACATTACTTTTTAAATTTTTTAACTTCATGGTATGTCTGCTAATATAAAATATGGCCTCCGTACTCCTCTGCTTCTCGAATTTTTAACTGCCCCACTCGGCCCAGCCCCGTATCTTCCGACTGTAGTTAGATTTCTCAGTGAATAATCGAAGGCGTGAAGTCATTCCACTTTTGCAGCTAACCTAGCATTTGCATTTTTTGAATAGCAGCCTAACGAGTTCCACAGCAACTGGTAAACACAAAGACTAAACTTAGTTCACTCTCGGCCTTTGCTTCTAAGAGGATACAGAAGCCTAGCATTCACCCACTAGCGAGAATGCAGGTACTTCTCTCCGCCAAGAACTGAGTAAAAAATAACTTAAAGATTTGTTTGAGTCCATCACAAGCAAGGCACATTATTTTTCAAAAAGAAGAGATCTGTCCGGAATAATTAGTATGGTTGGAACAAGAAAAGTGTTAATATAATCTAAGCAAAAGATTACTCTTCAGAATTATTTTATATTGTAAATTTCGTTCTTTTTCTTCCTTTGACACCAAATCAATAACTCGCTGCTCTTACCGATATATAATAAATCAAATAATGACTGATGGTTTTTTGCTAAAAGTAGGCTAAAGAACAACTGCGTTACTATGACGCAGTACCCTTCTCCCTGGTTCAAACTTTGGACACCCAACCCTCGTTAAGCTTTTGCTATCTTAGTAATCTCTGACCTTGGGGTATAAAAGCACTCCTCCCCATCGCCGGGATCGCCACAACTCTTGCAGTACTTCTTAACTATTAATTTTTTTTATTCCTACTCTGGGGAGCTTCGGCTTCCCAGAACCTCACCACCTTTTTCTGTATTTCCAATTAATATTCGGTGTAGTTATAAACATGTATATATGACTAGACGTTTTACACACCCACACACACTTACACAGAGGGCAATATACTAGTATAAAGTTAGGGTCGCGATATTATGCAACTGATTCATTTCTTAACTACGATTCTAAAATGTCCGAAAAACGATTGCTCAATTCACCACAGTAACAACCAATTCAGACTCATAAACAAAAAAATCAAATTTCACTGAATTAAAACTTCAATTATGAAAAGAATTTGCTCTTATTTCCCAGTTTTTTACGCCTTTCTCAGGAAAGAGAGCAATACTAAATTTCTAATGATAAGTGCTAAAATGATCGAAATGTTGCTATTCGCTGCCTTTTTACGGATCAAGTTTTGGCAGCTTTTTATGCGTTTTGTGCTGTGCAATAGCTGCACGAAACGCACATCATTACCGGGTTATCCGTATTTGTGTGTCCGATGCATCTTTTTTGAATGCCACGACTGAAATTTATCAAGAGAAGGACAGAGAGTTTCACAATCCCATAACACAAAAAAATTTTAAGCCAATTTTATGTTTTTGTCTCGTACATGACGAGGGATATATTTCACGACTTCAGCTTTTTTTGCTGGAATTTCGAAATTTTATCCTTTGCCCATGTATCCACTTCCCCGAACTCTCCTCTGCTCCTATCCCAAACTTACTCTATCCCAAACCATTCACCCACATCATCCTAATCTCGCTACTACCCTCATCCTACACACACTAGCCCAGCCGCTTCTTACGGTTACAATTATCATGAAATAAAAAATAAGAAGCTTAAGGCGATGGATGTGCGCCGACGCGTTGCTTATTTTAATGTAGCAGCTAAAAAAAATATGTGCCTATCAGAACAGAAGATACCTAGCAAAAAGTGACGCAACGAGAGGAGGGCAATTTGTCTTCTGAAGTTTACCGAATAGATATGTGAAAGTTAGAGCACATAATTTTATAACTCAACAAGCACAATCAGCTCTCTGTCCTGGATTCAGCTCACTGCACTTTTGCATCAAATCCGAAGAGTATTGGTACACTAAAGCTGATGCTTAAACAAATGAGGAACCGAGGACAGTACATACCTTTATGTATCGAACCCTGGTGCCAAAGTTTGCCACAGTCTCCTGCACCCGGCGATCATCACAATCCTGGCTCACTATGATCGGAAATTTCTCAGGCGACGGCCGATATCTAAGTAAATTTCCCAGTTCAAGCAATTTATACTGATATGTGCTGCTGCGACATTCATAATTTTAGAGTTGTCACTCCGCAGTATAATTTTACCCGGTGCACAACCGAGAAGTTTATTACAAATGCAGAGCTTCCATTGATAACAACTTACGCATCACTGACAGTTTTTGAACTGGCACAATCCAAAAATTAGGGGAATTCGGTGTTAAATCCCTTCTTAACTAGGCTTTTGAGGCTTTGCCGAATCTTACAAAGTCTTGAGAATGTCATTACTTTGATAATATGATTCCAAGCTTCCCAATATTTTTTCTTCATCTGATTTTGGCCCAATTTTAACTTCCTTGACTCAAATCTTGCTTTCCAATGCACTTGTCAGCTTAAAAGTTTGTTTTTCGCCCGTATTTTCCACGCACTCCAAAATATTTTTGGTGCTTTCCGCAGTGTATCACTGCAAACAGTTAAAGTGAATCAGTTACGCTCAGATATCCTTTCCGCATTACGACATTTTGCGGATAAAAATAAATTGGTTGCAAATTTTCGTGATCTAAATAGGCTACTCTGAAAAATATCCAAAAAAAAAGCGAAAAGAAGAATTAGCAGCTCTCTTTTCTAAGTAACGGCATAAAAAATTTTTGTTTTTTTAACTATTTTTTAATGATAGGCATGACCTTCAGGAAAGTGCGCTGCAATCATACTGGAAATCAAGAGTTCGACTTTGCCTGGGGATAACCGGTTCTTCTACAATTCGTTTCGATGATAAATTAGTGCTGGCATACGTCAGGGTGTGAAAGGCGTCATTTGCTTATTTTAATAAATACTCAAAAGAAGAAGCCATCAACAGTTTTGCTAGTAGGTAGTTGCTGTTAGCACGTGATTGAGCTTTTTAAGCCTCCCTTTTCATGCTGGGTGAGTAATGGTTGTACCCTGCTTACTAAATTTAACGCTTGTTACACTATTAATTCTCTTTGTGCTAGGTGCTAGTTTTTAAATAAAAAAAGTCCGCCAGAAGCCTTTTTTTGAGGAATTCAACTTGCGTCACTTTCTTTGCCGTCCAAGACAAAAAACTGGAATGCGCTCGTAAGAAAAGCTATTTGCTTTAACAGGAGAAATTACTTTGCTTACTTTAACAGCTGCTCTAAGTGATTGTGAATTGCATTCGAACGGTTACACACGAATACGAGGACAGCGATAGGATCAGGCCATTCACCAGCTGCTAGTGGTTTCTGAGCTGCTGCTCGCGTTGCGGTACCAGCAATCAGCTCGGACTCTTTGTTTCTTCGTTGCAGCTGATCGAGCTCATTTCTAAACACGCCAGCGCCCAATTAATGATTCACCACTTAAGAAACGAGTACTTTCAATAAAGTAATGGTTTTTTATTTTTCCACGCAGTAAATGTCAAAAAGAAAGTGTTTCTACTGTTTCGATGCATCAAACGAAGGAATTTTTAAGCTTCAGCACCGAATACGTGGTCCAGTAACGTATTTACGAGGAGTGAAAGGAGAGGAAGAAGGAAAATGTGCCTGCGGTAAGGCGCTTTTCAATAAAATTAGTGAAATTTTAACGTTATTTTATTCCCAGTACATTCTATTTGAAATACTAATGTTTGATTTCTGACTTTTTGATTTTGATTAACCAGCGTTTGACTGAAAAAGTATTTTCGAAATATTTCCATTCCGGAAGAACACCAAGAGTACCCAAGAAACATTCCTCGAACAATTTTTGA